TTGCCTCCCCCTGCCCTCCAGCAAGCTGGGTACTCATTTTACTGACCCTAGAAGGATGGAAGGCTGAGTGAACCTTGTGCTGGCTACCTGGGACTCAACAGTTTGTCTGCAGTACTCTAAAGCCCTTAGAATATCCCTAAGTCTTTCTTCAGACTTCTTTAATTTAATTCAATGTTATTTTTTTCTTTTTTAAATATTTTTTTAAAAGAACACACACCCAGATGAGTGCTCAATTTTGCTAATTCATGCTGCTTTTACCCACCTTTTGTCTTTCTAACACTTGTGGTACATTTCTAAAGCCCTTACGAGTATCTCCAAGCTAAGAACTGTACCAATAAAGAACCAGAGAAAGAACAAGATTTAGACTGGGTTAAAGAACTGTAGAGAAAGGCATAATGATGGCAAACTAAGGCAAACTAAAAGGCACAGGAAAGTTAAATCAAAGTAACTAGTTCTATGCCTATATTATTCCTTTACTGTGCTTGCTAAAAAGAATCGCTTAGATTGAGATTAAGCATTGCAGCAGTGCAACAAAGACCAAATGTAAAGATTAGAGTTGAAGAACTTTCCTGCAGGGATAGGCATGGTGATGCAGCAGTGGCATGCAGGCAGGCAAAGAGATAAAGCAGTGTAAAGCTAAAGAGGTCTAAGCAAGATACCCTTCCAGGCTGGCACAGCCCCCTATCCTTCATTTTGGAGGTACTATACTAGATCCTGTAAGAGCATTCTCATCTTTCAGAGCTGATATACTACACCAAAGAACACAGCTAAGATGATCTAGTGTAATTATCATAGCTGAAGTACTGCAATGCACTGAAGCAGCTAGTTGGTCAAAGCATGAATAACAGTTGGCAAGGGTGGGGAAGCAGAGCAGCATGAAGCTATATCAGAATAAGCAGAGCAGCATGAAGCTATATCAGAATAATAATAATAAAAAACCTTTCCTAACTGGCAAGCATAGTTCATTAGTATTGAAGGCATCATCCTGTTGCAAAGTTCAGAATCAAAATACTACATTGCAAAGCACAATTAGACCCAAAATGTGAACCATGATGGTTCTGTCAAAAGCGCAGTTAGAATCATAGAATTGGAAGGAGTCTCTAAGGCCATTGACTCAATGCAGTAGTCTGAATCGAAGCAGATCTGACAGATGGTCTGATTTTCTCTTGAATGCCTCCAGTGCTGGAACACTCACCATCTCCCCAGTTAATCACTTCCACTTTTGTACTACTCTAACAGTTAAGAGATTTTCCTGAAATTCAACCTAAATTAAACTCTAACAGTTAAGAGATTTTCCTGAAATGCAACCTAAATTAAGCTTCCTGCAACATGAGTCCATTATTACATGTCCTGCAGTCTGGAATGATTGAAAACAGATTATGCCCCCCCCATGACGACCTTTCAAGTATTTGAAAAGTGCTATCATATCTCCCCTCAGTTTTCAGAACCACCTAGTCATCCAGTTGCATTATCTCATCAAGACATTTGGTGGTGTGTGTGTGTGTGTGTGTGTGTGTGTGTGTGTGTGTGTGTGTGTAGAGGACAAACTAAATGCTGCTGTCAGAGGATCCCTCACTATGCTCTTGACCAGCAGTTCTTGCCCTTCCTGCTGGGACATCTATGCTTCTGCCTTGAGCAAGACTGCTTGGTGCTGCCTCTCGAGGTGCTTAAGCGGGCCACTGGCCCCTGCTCATCTAGTGCCCAGAATGAAGGCAGACAGCAGTCCTGTGATCCCTTCCCAAGTCTACGTGGCTCTACACGATGCTCTGCCTTTTCACCCTGCTTTCCATCTCAGGCATTGTTTTCATCACATTGCCACCACCTCGGATCTTCAGGATCTAACAAAGTTTACTTGGCCTTGGAAGCAGGCTTCCTGCCTCTCAGGATGGTGGCATCCCGAGCCTGCTGTCCATTTCTGCCTCCCCCCAAAAAACGATGACACCCTCAAAGCTTTATTGGAGGGTAATGGAACAAGACTGCTGCTCTCTAGCCCTAAGAGGGGCAGTTGTACTTACATTACTGCTGCATAGATTCTGCACAGCTAATCAACTTAAACTAATGATCAGATATAATGGTAATAATGGTAATTGGTGGAACTCTACATGATGCATATTTTTAATTAATGAGGATATACGATAGAAATTTATCTCAGTTATTTGCTCAATGAAATTACTTATTCATGCATGCATTTATTTGTATCATTTGAAATGAAATGGGCAATAAAACAATAAAGCTTTACAACATGATTTAGATGTGCAATATAATGCTAATAACAAAGTTAACAATGTTAATGCTAACAACACTGTTTTGCTCCAGAAATGTGAATGAATACATGTGCTTACATGTAGACACACAATGGAGTACAAGATAGTTTTTTTTTAAAAAGTGAATCATACAGATGCGTGCACACACACAACACAGAAAGGGGATTGTTACATAAAACACACAAAGATTTATACACAATAAACTGGGGGGAGGAGAAGCCAGATATAAGATTACTACTGTAATTAAGAAGACCAAAATGTTGGGAAGTGAAGAGACAGAAGCTTAGGAATGAATCCCAGATAACTGAAAGCTGAACCACCATCTATTTCTACGCTTTGCTACGTATGTACTACTTACTAATAACTAAATCTAGCAAATGAACCAAAATCTTGATGGTATTACCGACTATATGATGTCCTTGCTCACAGACTCTGTGACTGGAGAATGCTGGTGAGATTACTGCCCAAGACTGTTTGACAGAGCTGTCAATGTACAAAGCTCAACTCGACCGGGAATACCCCATCACATCATCAAAACATTTTCCTTACATGGTCATGATGAATACACATTGTCTGTTCCCCACCTCCACCCCACTTATTCAAGATGTCTGCATCTCTCGTTTGGTCCACATCACTTTGCATCACGCTGCTTCAAACCAGAACAAAAATGGACCAATTCCCTTTGATGCAGATATGATACAAATTGAGCCAGATCAGCCTAATTTGGTCCTGTCTTGAACCAAATCAGTTGCACCACCCTAGAAGCAACCACATGTGGACGTTACAGAGATTACTAACTAGCCTATGTTGAAGCAACTCATGTAAATAAGCTGAAGTGCAAGCAAATATTTATAGAAACGTAATCTGTGGAACATGTATGTAATACTGAGATTCACATGCAGGTTTTGCCTCCTTCTTGTACATGTTCTCTACATAAATATTACAGAGAATATCTGAAAACTGCTGTTTAGTACTTTTGGCAGCTTCCAAAAACAGTCATACCAGAAGTGTCACTGCTACAGTTTTCTGGTCACTACACTTCCCCCTACTTCTACCCACCCATTCTTTTTTTTAACTATGATTAATAAACTTGTACAGGCAGCAATGTAATAAATTCAGGTCCCCATCATTCTTCTCCCCAAAATGAATGATGCTGTATTTTCCAAATTATTTATCAATCACTGCTCTGTCCAGTGATCAGCTGTTCTGGAAAAATTCAGCCCCTCTTTCATCCTCTGTTCCTAGGTTGCTAGTGCCCAATCTCCAAAGAGTAGTCACTGCTTTCCCTTTCACGATTTTGAAAAATGATGCTTCTCTTTTTTCAGATATGCATTTTATCTTCTCCCATCCCCCGCTGGAAACAGCTATAATAACCTAGATTAAGTTTTGCAAAGCAAACGAGTGGCTGGTGTCTAAAGAGAGAACAGGAAAGCTTGGATTCTCTTGGGAAGGCACAACCTCTGCCCCAGAAGCCCTTCCCCCAAATTCTGTCACACTTATACATTGTCTGATGTGCCACATCCCATACTGTCTGTCTTTGGTTTCTGAAAACTGAAGGTTTATTTTCAGAAGCCCTCTATTACTATGTTACCGGACTGGCTCTGAAAACAGGTTTGACTCCTTGGCTGAAAGGAAGCCTTGAGGATACAGGTAGTCACACAGGGAGTGGGGTAAAGCAGGAAAGTGATGTGGTGCATCACCCAACCACTGCCCGTTTAGGCTTTGTCGTGTCATGATATTACTTCTTAAAACTTTCCGAGTTCTGCCCGGAGGTCATATCAGTTCAGCACTTAAGTCTTAAACTGGTTTAATAGGTGTCCCCTTTTCCCAAGTGAACCCTGAGAGGATTAGCCTTCTCTAAGTGGAAACAAGGGACCTCTTTGCTTTTCTTAGCATATCCCTGACCTCACCAAACAAAAATTCACAGGATCCTTAGTAGAGGTCTCTCCAGCCAATACAAGTCAATGCACGGTTTGAACGTAGCTCTATCCACAACATATGACCCACTGAGTCATACTTGCATGCCCCCAAACCGACAATTAATAGTGTACTGTTCTCAAGAACGCTTCCTTTTCTTTGCCAGTCCCCTCTTTTCCAAAAGGGGAAAATGCAGACACGTTGCTCTTTTCCTCCAGAGTGCTAACCCGGGTGTTCCTTCTCCCGCCCGCTCCCCGCCCCAAGGTCCCACACAAACCTCCATCTCTTTCCCTCACCACAACCTCGGTTTTTAGAACTAAGCAACACGTCTTCGCCCGTTCCCTCCTGTAAAGTACAGTATTTGGAAAGGAACGAGGACCCGGGCGGCGGGAACGGGCTGCCCACAGA